CCAGAACAGGAGTAATGTGGTCCCTTTTCCTAACTCTGGTTAGTACACGAGCTGCAGCATTTTGAATCAGCTGGCGACTTGACTGACTTCTTGGTACACCCTGATAATAAGGAGTTACAATAATCCAGCCTTGAAGTAACAAATGCATGGACTAGTTTCTCTGCATCGTTTTGAGGCAAGATATGCCTAATTTTTGCAATGTTACGTAGATGGAAGTAGGCGGTCCTTGAAATTGATTTTATGTGGGCGTTAAAGGATAAATCCTGATCAAATATAACAACAAGATTCCTTAAAGTCTCACTGGAGGCCAAATTAATGCCATCCATAGTTAGTATATCTTTAGATAATTTGTTTCGTAGATTATTCGGGCCAAGTACAATAACTTCAGTTTTGGTCGTGTTTAACATAAAAAAATGTAAGGTCATCCACGTTTTTAAGTCCTTGAAGCAGTCTTGAATTTTATTTAGATGATTAATTTCATCAGGCTTGATTGATAAATATAGTTGAGTATCATCCGCATAACAATGAAAGTTTACAGAATGATTCCTTATAATATTGCCTAACGGAAGCATATATAATGTGAACAAAATAGGTCCGAGCACTGAGCCCTGTGGCACTCCATGGCTAACTTTGGTTTGCGTGGAAGATTAATCGTTGACACGTACAAACTGAGAGCGTTCAGATAGATAGGACCTAAACCAGCCTAAAGCAGTTCCCTGTATGCCAACTAAGTACTCTAGTCTTTGCAATAGGATATCATGGTCGATAGTATCAAATGCAGCACTGAGATCAAGCAAAACAAGAATAGAGACAAGTCCCTTGTCTGATGCTATTAGAATGTAATTTGTGACTTTAACCAGAGCTGTCTCTGTGCTATGATGTGTTCTAAAGCCAGACTGAAAATCTTCAAATAAATCATTGTTTTTTAAGTAATCACACAGCTGTTTTGCGACCGCTTTCTCAAGAATTTTTGAGAGGAACGGATGATTAGAAATAGGTCTTTTGGCTAAAACCTCTGGATCGAGGTTGTGCTTTTTAAGAAGCGGTTTTATCACTGCTACTTTGAATGATTGTGGAACATAGCCTGATAATAAAGACATATTCATAATATTTAATAAAGAAGTGCTAATTAATGGAAAAACTTCCTTCAACAGCTTAGTTGGAATTGGGTCTAACATACACGTTGATGGTTTAGAAGAGAGAATCATTGAATTTAATTGTTCAACGTTAATGGCTGAAAAGCATTCTAGTTTACTATCTAGTGTAATATTAGAACTTACGTTTCCGGGAGCTGTTGATAACACTATACTGGTCAAAGGCAAGAGGTCATTAATTTTGTTTCTAAGAGTAACAATTTTATCGTTAAAAAAGCACATCAAATCATTACTACTGAGTGCTATGGGAATAGAAGGCTCAATCGAGCTGTGGCTCTCTGTCAGCCTGGCTACAGTGCTGAAAAGAAATCTTGTATTATTCTTATTCTCATCTATTAATGAAGAGTAGTAGGCTGCTCTCGCTTTACGCAGTGCTTTCTTATATTCATTGAGAGTAATATGCCAAATTAAACGAGATTCTTCAAGTTTAGTGGAACGCCATATCCTTTCAAATCGTCTCGACTTTTGCTTTATTTTGTGGGTTTCGGCATTATGCCATGGAGCTAGTCTATGTTGTTTTATTTTCTTCTTTTTCAAAGGAGCAACAGAGTCTAATTTTATTCACAGCGCATCTGTAGCACTGTGACGAAGGTAACTTCGTCACTATGGACCGGGTAATTGTGTGCACCTGGTGTCTTGTCTCCTCCCCCCCTCACCTGTGTCTTGTTGTGCTGATTAGTGTGTGTATTTAGGCTCTGTTTCCCTGTCTGTTGGGAGGCTGGTAGTGTTTTTGAGATCTTTGTGGCTGCAGGATAGGTGGAAGGAGAACAGCAAGATTGAGGCTGTGAACTTTGTGCCCAGGATTTTAATAAATGCCCACGTCGGGTTATATTTTTGGACGTTCTGCCTCTGCCTCCTTGCTTGGTCTGGGCCGCTCAACGGTCAGCTTCACAAGCACTATCAACATGATCAATTTGGGGTGGTGTACATTTTGTATAAGTTTCCTCCCTTACATGCAGACATGCTATCGAGTTAAGTATTGGTGGAATCACTTCCTTAAATGTGGCTATAGCACTAATAGTTAGGTTTCTGCTGCAGGAGCTTTTGACTAATGCTTTGTAGTCTAGTAACAGTACTTCAAAAGTTACTAAGAAATGGTCGGATAAAGCAGGATTATGCGGTTCGACTAATAGTTGCTCAATTTCAATACCATAAGTCAGAACAAGGTCGAGAGTGTGATTATAGCAGTGGGTTGGTTTATTTACACTCTGACAGAAACCAACAGAATCTAATATAGAGTTAAATGCAACAGTAAGGCTATTTTTATCATCGTCAACATGAATATTAAAGTCACCTACGATAATTACTTTATCTGTTTTAAGAACCAAAGTTGATAAAAACTCAGAGAATTCAGATAAGAATTCTGAATAAGGACCTGGTGCACGGTACACTGACAAATAAGATTGGCTGCAAAGTTTTCCAGGTCGGATGCGTAAGACTAAAAACGAGGCTTTCAAAGGAGTTATCATTTAATTTTGGTTTAGTATTGATAAGTAAACTTGAGTCAAAAATTGCTGCAACTCCACCTCCTCGGCCCGTGCCTCGGGCAATATGAGTATTGATATGGCTGGGTGGAGTGGCCTCATTTATGCTGACATATTCTTCATGTCTCAACCAAGTTTCAGTGAGACAGCATATATCAATATTATAATCTGATATTAAATAATTTACCAATATTGCTTTAGATGCTAGAGATCTTATGTTTAAGAGACCACATTTAATCTTCCTGTTTTGTTGCACTGTAGTAGTTGTTACATTTACTTTCATTAGGTTATTATGTATGACACCTCTATTAGGTTTTACCTTAAATTGTCCTTGGGCAGACACACACACCGTTAATATTGGGTATTTTATTGGGTTCGGGATTCCCATGGATGACTGCCTAGGAGAGAGCGCAGAGAAGCGTGTAAGGCTGCGACTCCGCCTCCTGGTCTCAACTCCACTTTGTCATGGATTACGTCCACAATGAATGCCGTCTCTCTTAATCAGACCAGGTTTTCCCCAGAAGGCTGTCCAATTATTTATGAAGCCCACATTGTTTGCTGGGCACCACCAAGACAACCAGCGCTGAAATGATGACATGCGGCTATACATGTCGTCATTGATCCGATTGGGGAGGGGACCAGAGAAGATTACGGTGTCCGACATTGTTTTAGCATAACTACACACTGACTCCACATTAAGTTTGGTGCATTCTGATTGGCGTAAACGAACATCATTACCACCGACGTGAATAAGCTTCTCTTATTATACCAGATTCTTAACCAGTCTGAGGCCTTAAGCTTCTACTATTAAAGCAAATGTGTTCTTTTTATTGCAATATAACTTCTGAAGATGTACAGCAATGTTCTGGCAACGCATGTAATTTTTCCAGTAGTAATTATCCAGTATCTGAAGAGACTCTCAATCTGTCCTGGCAGTTAGCAAATCCCCACGGGCGGAGCGAACTGCAGGGGAACTAAAGCTCTGATTTTGTACCTCATTAACACTTCCGATGAGATATTAATCTCCATCAGACATGGCACCACCCTGAGCATATTGTTGCTGTTCAGTCAAGATGAAAATGATTTGCTGCTGAAGGGCATGTTAAAACAAAGTGTGTTTAGCGAAGCAACACATGACATGTCAGAACTAAAGTACACTGAACAAAAATATAAACGCAACACTTTTGTTTTTGCTCCCATTTTTCATGAGATGAACTCAAAGATCTAAAACATTTTCTATATACACAAAATAACCATTTCTCTCAAATATTGTTCACAAATCTGAAAAGATCTGTGATAGTGAGCACTTCTCCTTTGCCGAGATAATCCATCCCACCTCACAGGTGTGGCATATCAAGATGCTGATTAGACAGCATGATTATTGCACAGGTGTGCCTTAGAATGGCCACAATAAAAGGCCACTCTGAAACGTGCAGTTTTGCTTTATTGGGGGGGGTCTGGGGGGGTCCGAAACCAGTCAGTATCTGGTGTGAGGGTTAGGGTTAGGGTAATGTTGTGAATCGAGTGGCCTGTGTTCGTCGTCCATAACATACGCCTGCCCATACCATAACCCCACCACCACCATGGGCCACTCGATTCACAACATTACCCTAACCCTACCCCTACCACTCACACCAGATACTGACTGGTTTTCGGACCCCCCCAATAAAGCAAAACTGCACGTTTCAGAGTGGCCTTTTATTGTGGCCAGCCTAAGGCACACCTGTGCAATAATCATGCTGTCTAATCAGCATCTTGATATGCCACACCTGTGAGGTGGGATGGATTATCTCGGCAAAGGAGAAGTGCTCACTATCACAGATTTTTTCAGATTTGTGAACAATATTTGAGAGAAATGGTTATTTTGTGTATATAGAAAATGTTTTAGATCTTTGAGTTCATCTCATGAAAAATGGGAGCAAAAACAAAAGTGTTGCATTTATTTTTTTGTTCAGTGTAGTTGTGCATAAGTCCGAGACACCTTAGCCGGGTTATTTTCAGATGACAAGAAAAAAGTTACCTGTCACAGAGCTGCTGTCGTTTTCCACTAATTTGTTGGTATTAAGTGGTATTTTCTTTCTTCACATTCTAGTAACTGTCAAACCCTGCTATTGTACCTTTTTCATCGTGTTCATGAAGAACAAATCCACCATCAATCCTTGAAAAACACTTAAAAGCACTTTGCTACCATCGCTATTGTATACATCTGTGAGAAAGACATTTAACATGAAAGCGCTATAACAAACACTCAAGCTGCTTCATCTTAGACTATAATAGATGCCATAGTTTGTTTAACACTTCTTCAAAGAAACCCTTCAAACCATGGTCTCTAACTAAGGTTGATGTTTTTTTTCTTTTCCAGGTGAGTGAGAACGCCAAGCAGGATCTGAAGGACGGTCTGGCTCTCTACAACTCAGAGAACAACATCGGCCTGCGAAATGCCTGGAACATCATCCAGGCAGAGGTAGGCAGACCACTCACCGTGCTTTACATATTAGAAACATTAGCATGAATGTGCAATCGTAACACTGATGGTAATACATAAATGCAAATATTCAAGCTAATGTATTTCCTGGCTTGGCTTTAATGCAGCACTAAAGGTCCAAACTAGCTGTTGAAGTATGCGTCGCTCTATTATTGCAGTCCTCTTAAGCAAATGGAATAATTACAAAAGTTGTGGCATTAAAGTTAGTTTGAAGTCCCCACGGACTGACAGCATTAACTCATTTTGTGTCCGATGTGTGTGTGGCATTCTCAGTGGAAGTGCTGTGGTGTGATAGCATACAGCGACTGGCACGAGGCCCTGAAGGAGAAGGTGGTTCCTGACCGCTGCTGCCAGGAGCATTACCAGAACTGTGGGCAAAACTCCACAAACATGTTCTGGAACAGGGTGAGTTACCATAAGCTCTGATTAATAGTATTGCATAAAGGTTTTTGTGAACAGAATTCAGACATTTAAACCAAAAGAGATTCCGCTTTGTATCTTGAATAAATACAGAAATGTAGCCAGGATCAACGCTGAATACTGTTTTGAAAAATACACAGATTCATTCTTGGTCTTGATAAAACTATGATACTATTAAAGAACTCTTCTTGGGCAGATGGGCCCAACTGGTCGCGGGGCCCCTGAGGCAGAGCTTCTGTTTGATGTGACTGTAAACATTTATTGTCGTAAAGTCATTAAACAACTACAAAGAGACTCTTACTAACTGCAAAGAGATGAAAAAGGAGTACAGAGAGAAACAAAAGGACTACAAAGAGATGCAAAATGGCCACAAAGCGATGCTTCATGACTACCAAAAGACACAAAACGACATCATAGACACTTGAAACAACCACAAAGAAATTTGATACAACCATAAGGACTCACAAATGATTCTCAAAGAGACATAAAACAACCTAAAGTTAACAGTCGTTTTGTGCCCAATTGGTCTTGAAACCTTGTACATGTCTCCGTTCAGGGACCCATTCTGTCATAATCTGTCCATCGATATAACAAAGTGGAATCATCAGCCACATCCATTTGACAGAGATGATCAAAATCATAAACATTTTATAACACTGTGTATCTAAAGTAGAATTATACTTTTTGTCTTATTGCTTAATTCTACTCATCGGATTTGTTTCCATTATGTATGAGAGAACAGGTCCTTTTTTCAGCTTCTTACACATTGTTCATCAATCTCCCCCCATTACATGTCTAATCTCCCATTGGTTTGGCTTTTGGTTTGTTAGCAGGTCCAAAGTAGGGGATTAAAAAGTGTAATATAATTGCCAAAATGAGAACAGGCAGACATTGAGCTGCCCCACTGGGAAAGCACAGCACTAAGAGGCTGTGTTTAATCCTGCCCAGAGGAGACGGCCACACACTACACAGTTAAGACTCATATGCTGCCTCAGCACCCACACTCCAGAAAGGGCACCACTTTGCAGCTGAACCCAACATTAAGTCCTTCACCCCACCTCCCTGCTAGTGGGTGACCTGCGAATGAACCCAGGTCCGTATATTTTTTAAGTAAGTGCACATGTGCCCCATAAGTCTGCATATAAAAGTCATCCCTCATGGGTAATTCACCTGTTGTAACACCTCACATGGTAGTTCATTCATCCGAGGCTGTATCTCATATAGAGATACATTTTATGTGAAAAAAATGGTCATAGGTGGTTGGGTTTTTCTAGGTGACCAAACATGCTGCATCTGAAGTATGATTCCTCTGTCACACAGGAAATTCATATCTATTGAGTGTTTTTTTTAACAAGATTTATTCCATTTCAGGGCTGTTTCGAGAAAGTGGAGGAATGGCTGGATGATAACAAGCACATGCTGGGAACCATAGGCATGGTCATCTTGGTCGTGCAGGTAGTTATTTTCTCCTCCATTTTGTTTAGCTTCACTTCCATTTATTTATATATCTGGTTGTATGTGTTTGTCTCTATCTGTCTGGTAACCACATGTCTAAAAAAAAACATTGTGCATCCAGTGGACTTTTTTGCCACCATCTGCCTTTGAGAATTATGAGGTCTTTGCTCAGGGTGCATGCTGGGCACCCATACTGTCTTCTGCATTCTGGTCTTGTCTGAGAGAATCAAAGCTACCTGGCTTTGTGCCATGCAGGCTGGAGCAACCATTCGAAGATAGGACATAGATACTGAATATGGAGAACCAGGTATAGAGTCACAGATTAAAGGCATAGTAGGGAAGAGTGATAGATATTCCTTCTAAGATATCACTTCTCTTTTTGTCCTAAAATCTGTTTTATATCCTGAACGGTGAGCTTTTCACTGCCTTTGCAGTTCATTCTCCACTTACTTGGAGATTTTGTCCTAAAAGTGTCTGCTAAGTGAACAAAGCAAAGTCTACTTTCCCCTTGCGTATGCAAAAATGTGACTCCTGGAGTATTTTGCATTTTGTGCTTTTTTGGTCCAGACTGGCAAAGTAACTGTACAGACATTAGCTAGATCAAATGTGACAACTCTGTGTGTAAAGAAAGTGTGTGTGCACAGTTTGTGTCACAACTTAGACTCTGACTGATTTCAGAACACATCAGGAACTCCAGTGTCTGTAATATTCCTCCAGTCTCTCTCCTTCTCTTGTGTTTCTGTGATTTTATGAAATGGAGAAATAAAGCCCCGGGAGAGTCGTGAAGTTTGAGTTGAAGTTGAAAGATCTGTTTGTCTTGGGTTCGGGTCCGGAAACAGCCACCTGGATGCTGTCTGTCTATATGACTAGCAGGGTAATGCAAACCTGGATGTTCTCCAACCCCACAATAGATGGATGCATTGATGGGCGTACAGGTCTTTTCTTTAGTTTGCGGCGCCTTAAGTAAATGTCTTCACATCCTTTCTAACAGAAGCCATCTGTTTTACACTTATTCCCCAGGTGCATGTAATCTTTTCTTGAATCTACCTTACATTGTTGGCTATATTTAGCCTTATATTTTTTAGATTTCACACATTCAGCTCTATCTCATACAAACAGAAGCTCTCTTGTTTGTGGGACTTCAACCTGCTGTCCTTGCAACCTTTAAAGCAACACGCCAAAATGTAATTTAATGCTCACTTGTCAACTGTGCATTCGAATGCAGTAAGTTTTACCACATTTCCAGGAAATCTGCTCTGCCTTTTAACTATTGCCAAAGATGATGAACGTGATACAAATCAAGTGTGTCATGCAAAATGCACTTTTTGATGTATTTTATACATAAAGATGTGTCCCCGGTAGGGGTGTAACGGTTCACTGAATTCACGGTTCGGTTCGTACCTCGGTTTGGGGGTCACGGTTTGGTACAACAAGAAAAAGCAAAAAAAAGTCCCAAATGCATAATTCCAGGTTTGTTGTTATTTATGTTTGAACAGTAGTGCAAGTTTCAGTTTAAAAATAAGGAACATTTGTAATAATTAACTGTATTAAACAGTTAAAAACAAACCACAAACAGTACCACACACACTCAGATGGCCATATTATCTATAATGGTTGATGTCAAACAAAAAGGTTTCATCAAGCTGTAAAACTAAAAAGAGTCATTGGCAAATCTGGGTGATGCCTTCTGATATGATTTAGCATGTTTGGCATGTGTTCTCATTAGCATACCGCACCGCTATCGAACAACGCCGACACACCGTCCTCGTCCGATCCACCACTCGTCCGATCCACCACTCGCATACTTAATCGTTATTGTAGTCCACAGGGAACCCGAAATGTTCCCACACAGCTGATTTAAAAGAAGCAGGTGGGTTCTAGCTCCTGTGTGTTATCTGAAATCTAACTTTTCTTCTTCTTGTATTTTGTTCGTTTTGTTGTTGTGTTTCTTCTTGTTCTTCATTTGTTGTTTAAGTGCGGCTGGCAAACAGCTTTTAGGCGCAATACCGCCCCCTGGATTATAAATAGTGTAGTGGATACTGCCCTGAATGACAGACTTTTTTCCCACTCGTAAAAAAAAGGCGTATTCATCGTGTGACTGCGTGTGCCGAACTGTGACGTCTGAACCGTGACGGTACGGGACGAATACGGATACCGTTACACCCCTAGTCCCCGGTGTGTCAGGGAACTCACGCAGCGTCAGAAAATAAAACCCTCTCTCTTTTCCTCCGTACCCAAATAAAAACGGGGCTACAACAGAGCTGATCCAGATTTGCGTCCGATATGACGTAATATCGGAAATGTATGCTGGCTTTACACCCACGGCAATTCTTTTTTTTTTGTAAAGCTTTATTTCCAAAATCAGCACTTTTGAAACAGGAAGTGAAATAGAGGAATATGAGGCATGGCTAGAATGTGTGATCTGTTTGGTATTTTGAGCAAAACACTTCATAGACATGTTTTTTATATATCTGAGACCTATGCTATTGCCTAAAAATTGCATGATAGGTGCACTTTAAGTCAATATTGCCCTTACCCTTAGCTCAAGAGTTTAATTAAGAGCACTGCATAAAGCCTATCATGTTGTCTCCTTGCCTAAGTGTTTAGCCTCAGGCTTTCACAGTAGTTATTGTCATAATATATGTACTTCTCTTACCATGGATACAATTCACTCACATCATCATCCTTTACTCTGACTTGACAGCGTTATGTCACTGATGCTAGCTTAAACAATATGGACAGCAAATATAAAACAAAAAAGTGAAATTGGATAGAAAATATAATATGTAGCAATAGGCGAAAACGTAGTAAAAAGTAAGTTTCGTAATGTCATCATAAGGAGTTCCTTACGATGCTGCAAGGGAAAACCCTTTGATCTTTGAGGCATCCTTAAATGAATCTTTATCCTAAGTGGTTTTATGCACACATGTTTTCATCTGCTTGAGTGACGCTTAAGTCTCATGCTTTGTGTAGACATGATTTATTAGTTCAGTCTGCTTCCATTTGTCCTTTTCGTATTTCAGCATTACTGTTTCAGCATTAGCCAAGCTCACAAACTTTATTTTAAAAAATTGGGTGGGCTGAACTTTAAATGAATGTTATTGCCATGATTCATCCCCTGCACTTTGCCTTTCCTTTCTCATGTCATGCTTTCAAGATGTGCTCCTGCTTTACTTTCCCTGCCCTCACACTTGAGTTTGCTAATCCTTGAATCGGTGATTCATTCAGAACAAGATGTCCTCGATGTAAAATGTGTGTTAAGTTTTGTGATAATCCTCACAATTATTCCTTATTATGGTTCTTGAGCTTCTGTTCAAGTACATCCCTGCAAAATGTCACATTATGCACAGTGTATCAGCAAACTTCAGCCCTCTATTCATTCATGTGAAGTTCACACTTTCCTCTCCTGCTCACACACTCACCGACTTTCTTATTTCTGTCTGACACTTTCTCTTCCATGTCTATTCATTATTCTGCAAACACACAAACACACACACACATATTCGCACATACAGTAAGCACATGCAGAACAGTGGCAAATATTTGCTTTCGTCTTCACGCAGAATTTAATCCCACAGCGCCGACTAGGCTGACATTAATTTGAATGATGCCTTATCCTCTCTGTACACACACACACACACGCTCTCCTCACACTGAGACCGGTGAGACGTGGGAGAGCCAAAAAGCAGACCTTTAGCTGTCAGATTTGCAGCCCCGAAGACAAGTTGGAGGACATGATGGAGATGAACATCATAAAAAGCTAATGCCCATGTCTGCAATGTTACATAATAGCCTGAGGCAAGGAGACCTGGCTCATGAATGATTTAGCCCAGCAGCATATATGACAGACTTTGGTAAAAGCCTATAACTTCATCCACAATGATTGCAGAAATCTTTACGGTAGTTAAATATTCTTAAACAGAGGCTGCTGATGGAGCTTTTGAAGAGTCCTGCAGGAGCGAATGTCATGCTGTCTCACTCAGACTGAATGAAGCAGACAGCAAAAACCCCTCAGTGGATGTCGGAGCTGCACAGATGAGCCACATGTAAATAATTGGGTTTGTTTTTCATTGGTCCAAACTCCCTCTAAGCTGGATGTTTACCTCATACGGCCCTTCGTGTTTGATTGGCAGCGGCTTAAGGTAGCATTTCCTATGAAGCAGCCCTACGAATTAGGCTTTGACTGAAACTAAAGGAGGAGAATCGGCAGCTCTCCCAGGCTAATCACATCCCGCAGGAATCCCCAGTGCATTCTGTTTGCAGAAAGTCCACGTTGCGTTTTTAGCAAAGACTATGCACAGTACTCTGCCGTTTCCCTGCCATCACAACTTTGCCAGATAATGGTTTTAGGATCAGCCTTGTGACTGTGTTTGATGTAGAAGTATCAGGGGTAATGGAAACTTCAAAGAGATAGCAGGCTACTTTGATTCAGTGGCATCTCAATTTACTTCATTGACTTAATGCTTGTGCACGCTTTACATTTTCTCCATCACAAAGATTCCAGAGCTATCGTTGGAAGGGGGGAAAAAAGAGAGTGAACGAAACATGTGCCTCTGCTTCACTACAGGATTTATAGTGCGGCCAACGGCAACAACATCAAAAAGAGCACACAGAGACACATATATATACACGTATATATATATATATACGTACACACACACACACATATATATGTATATATGTATACATGCAGACACAAATTCAATATCTTCTTCTCGTCTCCTCCACAGCTCCTGGGCATGGCGTTCTCCATGACGCTGTTCCACCACATCCACAGAACGGGGAAGAAGTACGATGCTTAGCCTTCGGGGAAGGCACCCAATGGAGAGGAGCCCCACTGCCTGGTGGGATAAGACTCTGAATTAAACACCCCTGCCCCCCTCACTTTACAACCTCTTTAGAGCATTCTTTGCCCCCCCCCCCCCTTACCAGACCTTCTGTACAGATTCCAGCTGTGTCCCCTCTACATTCTCCTCACCATCCATTTTGCCAAAGAGTAACACAACTGGAGGAGAAGGGACACCTACGTTTGGCAAGGAAGAGTATCCCATTGGTTGTCACTCCTCTTGAGTACTTTTCATTTCTTTTTTTTGCTTGGACTAACATTTTGCTGGAAGGAAGGATGGACTTTGAGACAATGAAGACTTTACAAATGCCCTAACGCCCCGTGGCAAAGACAACATATGAAACTGATGATACCCTCTGCCTCTTGTGGAGTTTCCTCATGTTGATAAAAGTCAAGCCCCGTTTTCACTTGTAAATGAGAAAAAGTTCCAACATGGCATGCTAGTTTTCTACTTTACTGATTTAACGGAGTTGTCAAAATGTCTTCTTTTTTTGTATGTCATGGATTCTCCTGTGGAAGTGTTGAACAGATCAGTGCAATCAGCTCTCAGATGTGTGTGTGTGGGGTTCAGTTTGACGTGACGCTGCTGTGGAGGGGCATAGACGTGTGGGGACGATGTTTAATGTTATCCATTATTCATATTTTTTTCATTTGGCTATAGAGAGTTTGGGTAAATGGAGCTTGATTGAAGAAAGTCGTGTGTAAGCGTGAAATCCTCAGTGGGTTATTTATGCACCAACTTCTACAGTATCCCCTGAATAATACATTGTAATGCACACATTTTTCTACGAACACACACTTTACGCTGCCACACAGCGAAAGTAGTCCCATTTCCTATGAGTCGATACAAATGGTGTAAAATGACTGTTTATTAGGGCTCTACACTGTCAAGTGTATAGATCTGGTTGATGTAGTTTCCCCTTGGAGAAAACACACACGGTGTGTGTGTGTGTGTGTGTGTGTGTGTGTGTGTGTGTGTGTGTGTGTGTGTGTGTGTGTGTGTGTGTGTGTGTGTGTGTGGTGTGTGTGTGTTGGTGTGTGTGTGTGTGTGTGTGTGTGTGTGTGTGTGTGTGTGTGTGTGGTGTGTGTGTGTGTGTGTGTGTGTGTGTGTGGGAATGAGCTTTATCACATTGTTCAATTTGCAGAGGAAAAAAAAAAAACCCGGCACATAGAAACACACAGCAAATCAAGGGCACCAGGGGCAAAAGTGTAGCAGACATGTTGTCTCCCTGCTACCATCAATTGTGTTAGCGCAGGCGGCTAGAGACCCTCTCTCCTATATTTTTTTGCGATTTCATCCATTTGCTCTGCCCTGCTCACTCTCCCTCTCTCTTTGGCTGTCAAATCCCCCATTGCCTCAATTATTTTATTTTTCACCCCAATTTTCTCCCCACATGTCAGAAACAATGATCTCTATGCTCCATAAGTGCACACACAATTTCTCTGCTGACATTCCAGCTCATCACGCAGTTGCTTTGGTTCAGAACCTCCTTGATTTCACGTTAGCTTCTGTTTCCTGCAGCCACAGTTGAGGGAGTGTAGGAGGATCAAAGCTAAGAAAGATAGGTGCAACATGCTCGATGTGTCTGTTTACCGCTGATTCGCTGCAGGAGGCCTGAACATCAGCCGGCTTCTTAAAGACTGAAAATACTTCATCTCCTGCGGTGACTTAGAGAAAAGGCCCTTCAAGCTTATCTGCTTTAAGCGTCAAACATTTTATGAGTGTGTGTAAAATACTTAATTGTTAACGGATCATTTTAGGTTTTTAGGCTTCATTTGGTTATGAATGGTTGCTATCAGTTATAAAACAATTTCAACAATGTGGCAAGAATGTTAACTAGGATAGCTACCTATTTATTCAACAGCAATTGAGTGCTAAACTATATCCTTCTACAGCAACAGGTTAAAGTTGAACCAGCCGTTTACAGTACATCTGGATAATCTAGGAGTTAAACGGTGTGACTGCTCATGTTCTTGAGGCTGATAATCAGATTGAATAGGCTTTTTTACAGAAGAAATTCGGAGGTAAAAAAAGCATAGGTGTAACTAATACAAATTAAACGTGGCTGAATTCCATTTAGATACTTTGATTTCAGGTTCCTGGTATCACGCACAAGCCCGGAAAGTGCACCAGGATGCGAAGCAAAGATTTGTTTAGTGGCTAAATGTTGCATGGTAACACAACTTCAGTCTGTGGGTCATTGGGGCCGAACACACTTTTTCCCAGTGACATTCATTGGGAAAGAGATGTCTGTAAAACAGCGGATATTTATTCTTTTGAATAAATTAAGTACCCAGTGCAAAAACTTTTAAAGCCCTTACTTAAATCATAAGGGTGTAAAAGTTGTAAAATGTGCTCAAAGCCAAATCCAGAGCTATTTTCTCTCTCCATTCAATTGACTAAAACGAAATTGGACAGGACAGATTGTGTTCATATTATAACTGACTGTTGCCTTCAGTCAGTGACATGTCAAGCTAATGTGACATTGTCATATTCTCATAAACACTTTTTGGAGCAGCTGTTGGGGTTGACTAATTAGATTAAATCCAGTGTAGTCATTTTGGAGGGCACTTTGTGGTGCAAATATATTTCATACTCGGAATTAAAATATGTGCACAATATATCAGACAGGGAGTGTTCTGTTTGGACACAGCCTTTTCAGGCTTTAGCACAGGAAGACCTCCCCATTGCTCTGAAATAAGAGGATCATTTGTTTGCTGCTGTTTGAAATGGAGTAGGGAAATCATTGGGACCACATGTGACTGCAGTATCAATTGTAACTGTTGTTGCTTTGGATAAAGCCTTGGAAACATGAGCTACCAGGTGACACAGCATTACCCACCAACAGTTATTCCAGTTGAGCAGCCTGTTTGCCTCAAGACTAGAGCATCACCTGAAGTCCTTCTGAACAGGTATTTCTTTATTTTCTTGATAATGACTTAATCTGAGAGACACCGTTTCAGTAGGAGGTTTGTGCATCAGAAGGCAACATATTTGGGCCGCCATGTGCAGCGACCCTGCTGGCTGTGATTCACTGCCATCCCCCATATGCTTCGCCTCTTCTTGTTGTGTCCACGGGGGGAACATGACAGCTGCTGATGTACAGCGCAGGCACGAGTGGTCACATCGCCTCGGCTTGGCTGCCTCCACAAACTCTCTGCACATCCCATATTTACTGCAGACACCCGGCACTACATATACAGTAACTGGCAGTATGGACACTGTGGAAATACAGCTGTGCTCTTTAGACGCCTGGAGGCAGCTGCATCCTACACGCTGCGGGGGGTATTGGAGAAAATAGCTATATCAAGTTTTGTAAATCATTGTAACCCTAGCCTAACTGCAGCCAATATGGATATGGACGCCGCTTTTAGAGAAAATAGGAGATACAAAATAGGGGGATGAAACAACTCCAGTGTCTGTCTCCAGCTCTGACGTCATACTTCAGAGACCCAGCCAGTACCCCCCCCCCCCCCCCCCCCAGACTGATCTGACTGTGCTGACATTTTCTTCGCCCGTGATCTAAACTCCCTCACAGCTCTGCCGCTGTCGACTACATTTCATGGTTTTTGTCCGAGAGAATGTTCCTTCATGTTTTTAGAGTACAGGGATGAATGCCATTGTAACAGAAGCTGTTTAATGATGTTATTTGTTGTACACTGTTTAAATGTCTGTTTTTATACAATATACTGTTGAATTTTCTGTTGTTGTCCATTTTAAATGGCTTTTATTATTATATTTTTTTTCATTCATGACAGAGGTTCGTCGTCGCTCATTGTAAGAACATGACACCATTAAGCATTTGTTTCTTAGAGGATTAGTCTTTGCGCTGTCCCTCTACAAGGTGCAAAAAAACGCCTTTCTGTCTTAACATCTCTTCAGGCAGTTAGAGCAATTAAGTCAGAATTGATAAAGACGGGAAATTTGGCATTTAGCATTGGGTGTGAAGCCCACAAAAGACGTACTGCACGCTTGTCGCAGGGCTTTTCTGTAATAAGACCTAGTTTAATTAAATTTAGACGGGTTGGTATAATCTGCAGTATGTCTTTAAAACTGCCAGTGTAAGACCTATTTTGTATTTCTAGAGCATGATATATTAGATGACACTGTACAACACAGAGCCCATGTCACTACCGTATATCAGCCCCGGATGTAAATATGCTAATTTTACAACTGATGTAATTTACTGTTATACTTTAACTCTGACACTTGTAATCACATTTACATTGACAGTTATATTTCCATTGTGAATTGCCTAACAACCCGTGCTCTTTTCCGCTCATCAACAGACATGTTTTCCACTTATGTTATCCATTTTCTCATGTGTCATATCTTTCCTCTGAAGTGCAGCAGCAATGTCAATATGTGTATGGTTTTCATATTTGATTTGCATCTTGTAGTAAGACATGTTTCTGTCTGTGTTTTTGGAAAGAGTATAAAGTATTCCCTCTTATCCATGGAAGCACCCCCAGTAAGCCACAGAGCTGGTGAAGGAAGAATGCACACGCAGTAATTGGGTTTTGTCTGCTGTGAAGAATTTTGAGACAGAAACTATTTTATTTATTTTTTGCCACATCGACATATTATTTCTGTAATCTCCTCCTAATCCTTCCTCCCCGTGCTAGAGCTGAATATCTGAGTAGTGGAAATGTATGCTCTGGAAATGGTGTGTTTTATGTTGTGTTCTGCTGGGTGGCACTATCTGATACCTGCCAGTTTGTCCTGTGGAGTTTTCTGCTACATGTGAAAGCACTCTGAAAATATCTATACCAGGTGGACTACCTTCTCTTTATTCTCTAAATCAACTATTTTTAAATAAAGAAAAAGAGTGTCACAAAATCCTGCCATACAGTACGCTCATTGCTTTTCATGTTTAATGACTCGATGCTTATAATGTGTTCCCTTTTTTATGTAGCTGTCAATTATTTAGGCAGCGTTTAAAAAGAGTTTGAGGCTGAATTCTCGGGGCGATTTGAAGACAGGACTTGGTATGAAGAGCAATGTGAAACGGCGTCACATCAGATTCCATGGTGTATTCAAAGACATTGTAGCATTGTGTCCTTCAAAGGCCTCTTTTTTATAGAATAACTAGACCTGATGGGACTGTTGTCCTAAAGACGCTGAGATGAGCTAATGGTAGTCAGCCCGTGGAGCAGAGTTTGTTTTTTAAAGAACAAAGGAAGATGATGAAAGTAGGAACCATCTCCAATTTGTTTCTACGGCATAGAGAGAGCTGCAGAGTATTTTTGTACGAAGCTTTATCCCTTTTTTAACCTAATTGTTATCAGACCCATGTGTGATAGTGAGTTGAGTTTATTGTGCCATTTCATCCTGGCTTTTTGTTTTACATCAGTTACTTCTATGCAAAAATATGACCTATTTTAGCCTTTGTACAGATTATTTTGTATGAGTAACATGTACTGAAATAAAGTAAACAATCAACCGTGGATATATATATTTTTGTTCTAATTGTGATAGCAGCATTTCACTTTTCTTTTATTCCCCCTCATCCTAAGCGGAAATCATTCCATTAACCTGAATTGGAAAGCTTTCATTTTGATGGGTTTGTCCCCACTCTGCATTATTCAGCGTGTTAACCTGCAGTGGAGCTGATCTCTGCAGGTTGTTCTGCTGTTATCTGTTCCCAATCTGTCGTGTTGCCCGGAGTAAACCCGCTATATTTTTAAATGCAAGGCAGCAAAGCTTTTCAGCCTTTGTCATCCTGTTTTGACATCACTTAAAATGGAGAAACAGCATGACTAATGCGGCTGCAGGCTGACTGTAGCTTCATACTGTTTGTTCTTTTTTAAAACTTAGTTAGCTGAAAAGATCTTAGTGAATGTCCCTTCTGAAGAACACCAGATATTAGTTGGACAATGTTTTGAGAAATATAATTGAGGTCAAATTCTTCAGAGTCTTTCAGGCTTTAGGCAAGGCAAGGCAAGTTTATTTATATAGCACCTTTCAACACAAGGCAATTCAAAGTCTTTAGTCTGGATTTTAAAGTAGTCAGAGTTGCAGCGGACCTGCAGGTTTCTGGGAGTTTGTTCCAGATATTTGGAGCATAATAACTGAACGCTGCTTCTCCATGTTTCGTTCTGACTCTGGGGACAGAAAGCTGACCAGTTCCTGAAGACCAGTGAGAGTTCTGGATGGTTCATAATTTAGCAGTAAGTCAGAAATGTATTTTGGGCCTAAACCATTCAAATATAAACCAGCAGCAGTATTTTGAAATCTATTCTTTGACACATAGGAAGCCAGTGTAAAGACTTCAGAACAGGAGTGATGTGATCCACTTTCTTAGTGTTAGTGAGGACTCGAGCAGCAGCGTTCTGAATTAGCTGCAGCTTTCTAATAGAGTTTTTAGTGAGACCTGTAAAGACACCATTACAGTCCAGTCTACTGAAGATAAAAGCATGGACAAGTTAGAGTAAGAGCAGTTTAATGACTGCAGTTTTCAGGGCCTGTGGAAAAATACCTGAGTGAAGAGATTTGTTTACTATATGAAGTAGATCTGAGGCCCTGCAACGAAAAACATCTTTGAAAAACCCTGTTGGAATAATATCAAGGCAGCAGGAGGAGGACTTCAGAAGTTGAATAATGTCCTCTAGGTTTTTATCATTAATCTGATGGAATTGTGTCATGGTGTTTGAATTGATATTAGGTGGACATAGGGACAACACATTTGCTGTACCTGATGCAGAGGCACTGACTGCTTGTCTGATTTTCTGAATTTTGTCAGTGAAATTCAGAGGCTACTGACACTGGGGGGTTAGTTAGTCTGTCGACGGTAGCAAACAAGGCACGTGCGTTGTTTTTGGTTTTGGTAATGATGTCAGAGAAGAAAGACTGTCGTGCGTTTTTTAATTCCAAATTATAAAGGCCAAGTCTCTCTTTATAGATTTCCAAGTGAACCTGGAGATTTGTTTAGGGGGAGAGCTGAGGAATTAAAACAAATTTGGGCAAAGTTTTCTCAAAATTGGAGGATGTATTGCGGGTTATCTTGATGTCCAGATATGAAAAAGCCTGGCTTAGACGCACAAAATAAATTGAAGATAGTAAAGTATGAAAATAATAGCCTTTATACATTTGCTAAGGCCTTTCCAGCTTAAGGCTGGTTTCAAATATGGGAACTCTAAATCATTGACTAAGTTGTGGTTAATGCTTATGTCAGAGGGTGATCTGTGAGGTCAGGGCCGGCTCTAGACAATTTGCAGCCCTAGGCGAGATTTTAGCTGTTTTTCCTTTTAGTTTTAAGGGATATTTTTGGTTTACTGTTCTATAGTAGGCTATACATTGGAATGATTTCTAACCTGTTTATCCCAATAATTATAAAGGAGTGCTTTGAAAATATGTGTTTACATAAATTGCGACCAAACTGTTTGGGACCCACTGAGATAACTTAGACTAAAGTTAACTATCTAAACACTCAGAGTCCTTTACCTCACTGAGTTGTAGTTATCAGCCTCTCAGTCTGACTGGAGAGGACTCTCCCTCCACATTATTGTTGAAACATCTTCTTCTTACAGTGGGGCAAAAAAGTATTTAGTCAGCCACCAATTGTGCAAGTTCTCCCACTTAAAAAGATGAGAGAGGCCTGTAATTTGCATCCTAGGTACACTTCAACTATGAGAGACAGAATGGGGGGAAAGAATCCATGAAATCACATTGTAGGATTTTTAATGAATTAATTGGTAAATTCCTCGGTAAAATAAGTATTTGGTCACCTACAAACAAACAAGATTTCTGGCTCTCACAGACCTGTAACTTCTTCTTTAAGAGCCTCCTCTGTCCTCCACTTGTTAACTGTAGTAATGGCACCTGTTTGAACTCGTTATTAGTATAAAAGACACCTGTCCACAACCTCAAACAGTCACACTCCAAACTCCACTATGGCCAAGACCAAAGAGCTGTCAAAGGACACCAGAAACAAAATTGGAGACCTGCACCAGGCTGGGAAGACTGAATCTGCAATAGGTAAGCAGCTTGGTGTGAAGAAATCAACTGTGGGAGCAATTATTATAAAATGGAAGACATACAAGACCACTGATAATCTCCCTCGATCTGGGGCTCCACGCAAGATCTCACCCCGTGGGGTCAAAATGATCATAAGAACGGTGAGCAAAAATCCCAGAACCACACGGGGGGCCTTGTCAGTGGTGTAGTGGGCGTTGGACGCGGGGGTACGCCGTACCCCCACTTATTTGGAGCATGATCTTTTTTTTAATTGTCTAATAAATATAAAATCATTGCCAGTGTTATCAGTTGCAAGTGTGTATTTGTTGTAATAATGACAAAAACATAATACATTTCACAGTAATTATAATAAAAAATAAAAACGATTTCCTTAAAAGATGATGATTCGTCATCACGCTTGTGACCCTGCTATCCGTGCACCGGTGCCGGCGCTGTTGTTATTATAATCTGGTATTAGCTGCTCTCTAACAGATATACAGTGGGGCAAAAAAGTATTTAGTCAGCCACCAATTGTGCAAGTTCTCCCACTTAAAAAGATGAGAGAGGCCTGTAATTTTCATCCTAGGTACACTTCAACTATGAGAGACAGAATGAGAAGAAAAAAAAAAATCCAGAAAATCACATTGTCTGATTTTTAAAGAATTTATTTGCAAATTATGGTGGAAAATAAGTATTTGGTCAATAACAAAAGTTCATCTCAATACTTTGTTATATACCCTTTGTTGGCAATGACAAAGGTCAAACGTTTTCTGTAAGTCTTCACAAGGTTTTCATACACTGTTGCTGGTATTTTGGCCCATTCCTCCATGCAGATCTCCTCTAGAGCAGTGATGTTTTGGGGCTATCGCTGGGCAACACGGACTTTCAACTCCCTCCAAAGATTTTCTATGGGGTTGAGATCTGGAGACTGGCTAGGCCACTCCAGGACCTTGAAATGCTTCTTACGAAGCCACTCCTTCGTTGCCCGGGCGGTGTGTTTGGGATCATTGTCATGCTGAAAGACCCAGCCACGTTTCATCTTCAATGCCCTTGCTGACGGAAGGAGGTTGTCACTCAAAATCTCACGATACATGGCCCCATTCATTCTTTCCTTTACACGGATCAGTCGTCCTGGTCCCTTTGCAGAAAAACAGCCCCAAAACATGATGTTTCCACCCCCATGTTTCACAGTATGGTGTTCTTTGGATGCAACTCAGCATTCTTTCTCCTCCAAACACGTTGAGTTGAGTTTTTACCAAAAAGTTCTATTTTGGTTTCATCTGACCATATGACATTCTCCCAATCCTCTTCTGGATCATCTAAATGCTCTCTAGCAAACTTCAGACGGGCCTGGACATGTACTGGCTTAAGCAGGGGGACACATCTGGCACTGCAGGATTTGAGTCCCTGGCGGCGTAGTGTGTTACTGATGGTAGCCTTTGTTACTTTGGTCCCAGCTCTCTGCAGGTCATTGACTAGGTCCCCCCGTGTGGTTCTGGGATTTTTGCTCACTGTTCTTTTGATCATTTTGACCCCACGGGGTGAGATCTTGCGTCTCTCAGATCGAGGGAGATTATCAGTGGTCTTGTATGTCTTCCATTTTCTAATAATTGCTCCCACAGTTGATTTCTTCACACCAAGCTGCTTACCTATTGCAGATTCAGTCTTCCCAGCCTAGTGCAGGTCTACAATTTTGTTTCTGGTGTCCTGGCCATAGTGGAGTTTGGAGTGTGACTGTTTGAGGTTGTGGACAGGTGTCTTTTATACTAATAACGAGTTCAAACAGGTGCCATTACTACAGTTAACAAGTGGAGGACAGAGGAGGCTCTTAAAGAAGAAGTTACAGGTCTGTGAGAGCCAGAAATCGTGTTTGTTTGTCGGTGACCAAATACTTATTTTAGCGAGGAATTTATCAATTAATTCATTAAAAATCCTACAATGTGATTTCCTGGATTCTTTCCCCCCATTCTGTCTCTCATAGTTGAAGTGTACCGATGCAAATTACAGGCCTCTCTCATCTTTTTAAGTGGGAGAACTTGCACAATTGGTGGCTGACTAAATACTTTTTTGCCCCACTGTAGTAAGATGTGAGCATGTTCCTAATTGTGTTGGTATGCAGCCTAGGTCTGGTCTGTTTAATAAAGCAAATCTGCCACTTTTATATTGTAGAATTTGTTAAATTAAAGCAGTCTTTAATTGTTTGTCCTAAACAAAGCAATATATGCTTTTGAAATGTAACATGTCTTTGAAAAAATAATAGTATACAGTGTTTATCACCTTTAGCTTAAAAATACATAGATTTTTTTTTTTGTATCTATAAAATAAATAGACGGACACTTTATCAATCCCAAATTGGGAAATTATTTAACAGCATCAGTGTATTCAGGTGTTAAAATATTTAAAGTTGGAATAAAGTATAAACTACACAACAAAGTATAATGCACAGCAATCCATAAGATAAATCCGACATATTCATGAAAACACAAACGTGGC